AGACAAAAGTGTCCTGAGATAACTTCTGTTATGAATTGGCGCTATACAAATAAAATTGAAATGAATTGAAAATTCTCCCTCGCTGATATCGGGGAGTTGAGAGTGAAACAGAGACTGTGTTAACTTAGGTCAGTTATAAAAAGACTGAGGCAAATGTATGTCAGTGGGCAGACCATATGAGAGTTACCAGACAGGAACAAAATATGTGAATGTGACATTGAGTATATGCCTGTTGTATGAAACGTGCCATATAAATAAACTTGATATTTTTGTCATGTATTTCTTCTTCACCATTTAATTTTTACAGTGTCAACAGTGCACTCACCCCTCCCTCCATTATACACCACAAGACAGTGTTCTGGTAGATTTGTTTTAATTAAAAATGTTAATAAATACTCCATGTGTAGAAGACAAGGTAGTACAACAAACCACAAAAACACAAACTCAAGAGGCTGTTTTTCAGGCTTTAAAGATTACATATACGAGATTTAAACATTAATATAGCAGCAAACAATTATATGCTATGTAAAGATATATTGTAGTCATGGTGTCCTGACTTTTGTCTATGGTGCTGTCTTATTTATGCTTTGTTTATAAAGCCGGTCTGGCTGTGAGCAATGCTTAACTAACATTATATGGCAGCTGAAGCAGCCCGTTTCACAATATTTTTTCATCTAACTCGGTGAATGAAAGGTATATTTCAACAAAATGTATCCGTTAAGTAAAAATGCTGGTGCTGCGCTCTTTTCTCTTCCTCACAATGTCTTCCTCACAAAGGATATTCGCTCCACAGGCTGAAAGACACAAAGAACACAACAAACGAAGACCAACTTTATTAGTATATATTCGTGCTGTGTCTACAAGAGCTAGGGCTGAATATCATTCCACATTTTCTAGCACTTTGCCTAAAATTACTCATAATTGTGATTTACTGTAAATCTCTCTGATCATAGAATAATTTAAGATGAGTATAAATTCAAATAGGCCAATTAGATACTAAATATGTACAAAAATCTTTTGATTTTGTGAATTTCCCCAGTGTGGAATCAATAAAGTCTATCTTATCTTAACTTATTATTAGAGTAATGTAATCTGATCGTAGGGATAAATATGTGTATATTTTATTTTAAAAAAGGTCCTGATGACATTGTATGTGTCTATTACTTACTTGGGAACCGCTGCTTTAGAGTCCACTGGATTATTACTGATACAAAATGTTGATTGATGTTCTTGCATTGAATCTCACACTGGTCTGTACCTCGATGTGTTAGTGTGTTCTCAAAGATAGACACTGATAAAAGGCCACAAACAATTTTTCCAAGTTGTATTATTTAACTGTTGAGGAGAAAACTATTATTTTAGGTCAAATATTTATATTTAAAGTTCAATCAACAACAAAATTAAAATTTTTGAAATTAGTTTCTTTAAAAATACACTGCAAAACCAATGTCTTTTGGAAAACATAATTGCCATTAACCATTGCAAATTAGAACAGCATAGCATGAAATGGGGAAAAAATAGTTTTAGTTAACAGTGGGACTATATATAGTTTGAAATATGCTTGGCATATGTATATTTTAGTTTCCTATGTATCGGTACTCTTTGTCTAATAATTTGATTAATTAAAGAGATCTTATTAACTTTGTGTTTTGTTTTATTTGAATTTGTTTATTTGAATTTATTTATCTTTTTCTATGTACTCCTGACCTTTTGTCCAATTGTCCTAGTATTTGTTTCAGTTGCCTGTATTATTAGGAAACATCTCTGAAGAGACACTTGCTTTACATTATCAAGAGTGTAGCTGATCACTTTCCGCAGAGGGCGCAGTAGTGTCGTAAGGAACCAGGCTATCGTCAGCCTTCTGCAGTGAAATGATATATTACACGGCAGGTAGATTAGTAGTTGGTTTCCATCATCAGGCTGAATTAGGGAAATCTGAGTTTTTGGCTGTGTTTCCACAGTGGTGCTAGAAATATGTTTGTTTCCTGACAGTTTTTTGTGTGGGTGTGTACACAGTGAGTATAGCAGTTAACATAAAGTGAGCAGCATAATGTAGCATTTTCAAATACTCCAACAGTGTTTGTGTGTGTGTTACCTCAGGGTGTACTCGGGGTTGGTGTGTGTTTGCGACAGCAGGTATCTGATCTCCTCAGGTGGGTTCAGACCATATAGTTTTGCTCTCTCCCATCTCTGCAGCCTGCTGATACCTAGAGAGAGAGAGAGAGAGAGAGAGATGTGATAAAAGATGATTCAGCATCACTGCAATGTTACCTTTTCACCAAAAAGAGCAAATCCAAAAGTAATGCAGAAAAAAACTAATACAATACTGCATCAGTGGAGGCAACAGACTGTAGAAAAACCACCCACAGATGTATGGAGCATTAACATTTTACAGTCATATAAATGTACAACGCAGCGTTACCTGAATAAAATGACAGATTTCTCTGAGTTTGAACATTGTTAGAAACATTTGGGATAATGTAAGTACACAACTTAACTACATAGAGAACATAGAGCTAGAGTTTATAGACACTTTAATGTGCAAATGTTATAGATTACAGCTTTACATTTGCACTACTTTATCCCATCTCTTTATGTCAAATCCACACACAGTACACCATGTGTTACCTGTGCAGGGCCCAAATCTCCAGTCCAGATCAAACTGTCTGAGCTTCTGCAGCTCCTCCTCACGGACCGTTCCAGTGTCAGCCTCTGCTCCAAGTAAAAGATAAGGAAATAAATAAAGTTAAAGGAATATCTTATCTTATCTTAAAGGTTCAGAGAGAAGTAAAGTCAAATTTTTAAATTGAATTGAATTCTTTTTCATGTTTAAAAACACATTTGTTTTTACAACCAAACTCCACTCAACAACCATTTTCAGTCAACTCCAAAGTAAGTAAACAGGACTGTGTTTATAATGTATTATTGGCATTGCAATTTTCATATACTGTGACATCTTAAAGTGTACAGGGCACATACAACATATGTATGTATCATTAAAAACCTGGAACTGAAGCTAAAACCAATTAAAATATGAACATGAAAAACAGATTTTTGTCATGCTGACTGAGATCTGTATTTCAGTGATGTTACAAATGACTTCCTGTTTCAGGAGATCAGATACAAGGCAGACACACACACTGTGCTGCTCTTCACCTTTCTGTGGAGGAGGAGAAGGAGTAGGCCTCTTCTCTTTTTTGCCCCCCCTCCTTGCTTTCTTAACCACCTTGAACGAATCTGTTATCAGTCCTCGCTTGGTTGTCATGGTGACTGATCTGGAACACACACACACACAAACACGGTACTGATCATACAGCCTGGATGCTATGGAAGGAAAAGGATGTTAAAGAACCCCCCTTGTCTATGTATTAAGACACATACTAGTCTACTTGGAGCACCAATGTGTGTCTGCTATGTTTTTCCACAAATTAACACATTAAAGTAATGTGTTAACCCTCCAGTCAGAACTCAGTGTTTCTTCTTGTCCCTACAGTGTGCTGTTTGAACGCTGTCTGCGCACAGTTTGACTCTAGAAGGATGTTTTCTCATCCATCTGCTGAAAGTGGAAGTTTCTCTGTGCTCATTGAACATCTGAGTTTAGGCGGGGCCTACCAGCGGGATTGTGATGAAAAATCACCAGTGCAATCCACTGAGAATGGATTGTGGTCAACAGGAAAACCTTAAGAAGTCAAAAGAGTAAAGTTGCTTTTAGGGATTGTAATGTGGAAATTAATTCTGTGAAATACTGTAAAACTTCCAATAAAAGCAGGGGTCCTAATAGACGCAGGTTCCTTTTAAAAGGGCCTGGTGTGCTACATGTTTTGACAAGTAAACGACAGGTCCAATGAGGCCGTCTGGATTTATAGAATGATGCTGATAAATATAAAACCCTAAGAACCCCCAGGCGCGCCGTCGTTTCAATCTGCTTGACATAAATGAGAGTTAAACTTCTGTGCAATATGTACGAGAATGCACATGAGTGCAGTTCAGTAGATTTGTCACAATCAATCTTTCACTATATTTTATGAAACGATCAACCCAAAGTATAACGTTAATTCATTCTGATACCGGTAACATGGTAAACAAGGAGAGAGGAAAATAAACCTCTGAAGGCGATATAACAGTCAGTGGTTGGTTGTTGTGCAAAGGAATAAAGGCCTGTCCCAATAAAAGGCGGGAGTTCGTGATTTAAGCAAGTGAACGCCCGGCTTTAGTGTAGAGGAGTTTTACGGTAAAAACATTGAGATACAATTTTCAAGCGGTGGTGATTGTGGGTGTGTCGGGTGTATGTAGTTTAAAAGTATAAGTTATTATGCAATTGATAGTGAAAACGTTTGTTTTGAAGAGACAGTAACCTCCCTGTAAAAGACAGTAACTGTGACTGTAAATTTACCGTATAGTTGCGGGCCATTATGCAGAATCGTGCAGGTTGCAGTCAAATTATGTCTAGAAGTTGGGAATAAGGGTCACACAAAATCCTGAAAGATTTATCATTAGTATGTTCAAGGTGGCATGGTAGTATTGATGAGTAGGAGCAAAAATCCGTATTTGTTTATATTATGTTTATTTAAACTGCAATAAGCACAAAGGCAAGACTTTGTTTGTAAATAAATGTATGGACATATAGTTTCCATCATGATATGCGATGCCCAGGCTAGGTGATAGAAAGTGGCTTTTAGACTTGTGGACGTTACGGAAGCAAACCGGAAGTTATTTGAATGGCTCTAACATGAACCGATGGAACCAAGGGTGCAGTTGAGAGCGTTCCGTTAGCTTTTGTCGTCTTTGTAAATGGGGCTTGCAGGCACAGCAGCATGCGCACAGCAAGCTTCCTTGCTACTCCATGGAGACGGAGAGCCATGCACCACAAGGGGGAGGAGCGCAGCAGAGAGTACACGTGGGTGCCAATTTTGATATGCAAATTTCACCATGACCTCCGATCTGGGCTGTCCGACACAGTGGGCAACAGCCGCTTCACGTGAGTGCGCAGTGTCAGTACTGGCCAGCTTAAATGAGAACAAAGGAAGCTCCGCAGCCAAAATTGGATGCAATTTTCGTATGAAAATAACGGCAAAGCAAAATGGAACATATGCCAAAAATATATGTCGAAAATGAAATCGAAATTTCAAAAAAAATTCAAACCTCAGATATCGATGTCTTAAGTCTGAATGATTTCGATTCCAAACCTTACCCATCATTCCTCCCCCCATGATTTAATTTCCCCAGATAAAATGGGTTTACCCCCAGGCTAGCTTCTTAAAAGTAAATAAAATATAAAAAGTGGCCTCATCTTTTGAACAGGGCCTCTTTGAAAGGAACGCTCCTCCCAAGATCCGGCTCCCTTCCCCCAAAAGCCATAAATCCCAATCCCTCCCCTAAGAGGAGGGCCAGCTGAGCTTGGGCAATTCCCGCCATGAACACCAAAGACGCTATTTGGGCATTCCTGGTAAGCCCGTTTCCAATCGACAAGCTCGCACCGAGTTCGCAAGCATACTGTTATGGATGTCATTTCCCTCCGTATAGGCAACTCCGTGTAGGTATGGTTCTGGAGAAAGAAGTAATGCATTTGTTCCCCAGAGAAAGCAAAGTGTAATCCCATGAGAGATTATGTTCAGTAAAGTAGGCTATTGTTTATTTCGACAACATGAACTGGAAATCTCATTTAATATCCCACTAATTATAGCTGCGTTCGTACATTTATCGTATAATGGTAATTCGAATCCGATAAAATGGCGACAAGCATGTTTCGACAGCAGCTAAATGTCATGCGTAGCCATAGCCAGACTGTTCGGCTGTGTTAGAAGCTTGCCAGCGAAGACTTTGTAAAATATTTTACTGTTAGTAAGTCAACATACCAAAAGTAAGCTATTAAGTTGGATAGTAAACGTGTAGCTAGGCAATGGTAAGAGGCATGAAATAGCGCCCACGTGCTTAGTTATGTATACACAGAAATTATTACGGTTGTCGTGCGTGCCTCCAATTTGGTGTAGGTAACCTTTGTCTAACTCTACAGGTACAGTATTATAAATGCATATTCCACGCTTGGTTGAATTTCCCCAATGTCCTGCGTTCTTTAGAACATAGGCCTATCCGGTATACCATGAAGATGGGTATCTCTCAAAATGAACTTACAATAACAAGTATATTCATATGTTAAGTGCAACTAGCATCGGTTACAGAGGCATGGTGGCGCGTTGCTGGTCGTTTGGGAGTGTTTTGGGGGTAGATAAACTTTGTGTAACAGTCCTCCCCCCTACAGTGTACAGAATTATAAAATGCAATAAGTTTACATAACTTCCGTTTTCAACGTAGTTAGCCCTTTCTCCACAGTTCCTTGATCAACTAAGAGGTTATAAGCTAGTGCTAAGGAGGGTGAGAAAAGTAAGTTGAGCATGGCTAAAGTGTTCCAATATATCCCTCTGACTATAGCTTACATCCTGTCAAGTTTTCCAGGCCAGGCCACCCCAAGCCCCAGCCACCAAGGTGTAAAGAACAAGGATGCCCGATTTCTCCCACTGCCCCTTTGCCCAACTTTCAATAAGGGTAAAATCACTCCCAAAAGCTGGAAAACACAACTTACAATCACACCTGAAAACAGTGACAAGCAATGGAGGTAAATGTTACTGAATGCTGATCATGTGGTTTTAGAATAATAACCTTTGGTTGATGCATATGAAGAAAAGTGAGGACTGGGTGAAGAAGCCACTTGTGTTTTAAACCAGTTATTTAAAGCTTGCTTTGTTTTTTAGCCTTCCTTTTCCAGAGTTTGTGATGTATAAGTTGCAAATGGGCCCCTGCAGAAAGGAGTCCCACTACCAACTGCTGTGCTTGTAAGTCGAAATCTTTTCAAAGAAAAAAAACTTTGCTTACGTAACACGTGGGCATTTCCACTGTGGTCAAAGCCAAAACAGGCCTGTGGGTCCACCAAGGCGATTTGCGAAATGGCAGCTTTTTCCCAGACCAAGAAGGACCCTTCAACGGGAGATGAGAGCGAGGATACTCAAGAGAGTCAGGGCTCTGAAGACAAGGTGGAAACTGTCACCTCAAGCGATTTTCAGTATCCCCCTCGAGATCAGAACTTGGGGAGAATTGTTAAGTACAACCACATCAAGGCAAAAGGCTTCCTGCAGACTTGCCTGCCAAGGTGTATGGGTTGACAAGCGAGACAGAAACGCCTAAACATCTGATACCCAAAGAGTGTGTTTGTCCTGAATGTCCTGGCGATCTTCCCCTTGGTGAACCCCTGATCATCAGTAGATCAGCAAAAATTATTACTGTCAAGGGAATCATTGAGGGTCTGTGTTACGTTTAAACTAAAACTGATTATTCTCACTTTTCCAAGTTGTATATACACCACTAAATGCCCCAATGATCTACTTATGCATTTTAGGTGTGACAACTTATGGGAATAAATGCAGTAGATGTGGAATGATGGTGCGATACCAGGAATGGGAGGAACGCTTACATAACTTTGATGACAAAGTCATTCTAACCCTCCATTTTTGCCTGTATCTTCGGAACTGCCTCCAGGTCAAATTCTCGAGAATTCAATATGTGATTTTTTTTTAAAAAGTGACCATAGTGCATGTTAAATGCGTAATTCTGATATTCCATATCTTTATGCACAGTAGGCCATTAATTAAGCAATTAGAACTCAGGTGCAGGATGAGGCTTCTAAACTGACAGTCATGACATTTTATCATTTATTATTGATGTTTTATTCCAGACTCACACAGCTTTGGGTCGAGCCATCGAGACATGGGAGCTGACGTCGGGACAGCATTACCCAAACAAAAATAGTCTGATACATGGATACCTACATTTTGAAGCACTGACGGACCATGATTATAACTTCTCCTGTGTCCGCTGTGGACATCACCCTCCTGTGGTGGTCATGGATCTCCACAAGAGCTGTGTCTTCAGCTTGGCAGGTACAATACAGGTTTTATTTGCATTGTGAACCCCTCCACCCCTCCAGGTGGTCTAACTACAGTATAATGATATTTCTTTCTATTTTAGTTAGTGAACTAGAGGATCCACCAGATGGATTTGATGGGGAAGTGGACATTGATGAGTTCTGGGACTCTCTATGTTTAGAGAGGATTGCACGTGGTTTTGTTCCAAGTAAGTGACTTTTTAAATATAAAAAGTTTATCATGTTGCCTAGAGAGATATAATCCCTTTGTTACCTTCTTTCTCACTCCACTTTAAGAATTATAAAGTTAATTTCGAGCCATCAATGCAGTCTATCTTTCTTTCAGGTGATCGACAAAATCCTTTTGCCGTTAAACCTACGTACCACCACTGGGCCCCGTGGATTGGACCTCACACCCGCAAATCCAACAAGGTTCTCAATACAGAGCATGAAAAGGTCCACACAACAAGGCACCCAAAAGAACAGACAGAGATTGACGTAACGGAGGACAGGCTACTGGATGAAGTATCCAATTTGAAGGTAAACAGGTCTATGTGTTTTTGTTGTTTATTCTATAGAATCAATATAACTAGTACAAATGTGTTTACAGTATACACCTTTATTTTAGTAATCTATTACAGGTCCATGCCATCCGAAAGCTCTGCAGGGAGTGCGGAATTGGCTGCTGAGAGAAGAAATGAGAACCCGAAGCAAATTTGATAAAATCTTTCAAAAGGTTTGGGGAGCATCTGGTAAGTAAAAAAAAATTCCCAATAATGTTGATTTTTTTTCCTCATTAGATGACTGCTGGTAATTTAGTTTGACTTCCTTGAACACTTGTTCTCCTCAGGTGGCTGGGCTGTTGTTATGTGCCCCTGTGGACAGGTTGTCTCGCTGAAATTTAACCTTAGGGCAGAAAGTCCAAGGGACTTCACTGATTTATTGTTATCTTGGAAGCACATGCCCAACATATGCATATATGACTTTGCAAGAGGTCTGGCGGTGCATGCTAACCTCAGAGAGCCCGAGACGATGCCTTTCAGCCCTCATGAGGGTAGGCTGTTGGACCCCAGCCATGAAAACTTACAGTACGCATCCAATGGTGGTATGGTCCACTTACCATGGCTTAATACTAGGAAAACTGTGCTTGACCCGGGTGGCCATCCATTGACTGGGTCAGCAGACCACTATTGTCTCTACGACACATTCAATGAGAAAAACACTAAAGACCCGAAAGATATCCTCCGTAGGATAAAGATGGTACCTGAACTGGCAGGGAGAATAAACAGCCAGGTTGCAGAACAACTCTTCTCAACCATGAAAAAAAAACAACTATTACATGAATATGCTCTCGCCATTTGCTCATGTTTTCATGATGCGTAATGTTATTCACAATTACAATCAGCGGAAGAACAAGAAGATCAAGGAGGAATTAAAGAAGCTTGTGACTCCTGAAATTCCACTGTGTCTCAATGAGCATGGACAGGCAGAATTCTGTGCGTCCCAGCCAACAGACCGTAGCCCAGATCCAGTTGTTGCCGCCTCCTCTCAGCCAGCAGAAATGGAGTTTAGCTCAGACCCAGCTCTTTCCCCACCTTCTAAACATAAGGAAATGAAGCTCATTTTTGTCTCGTCTCCTCATTTTGAATTAGGCTCAAGGTTACAGTTGCTCTCCTCAGCTGTTGACCATACTAATCCCAACTTTGCAGTTGCTGATTGGAAACAAGAATCTGTGCAAGACTCTGTGAATTAGTAAGTTTGAGATTAGTTTTTCTTAATTAGAAATTTGAAATATGCATGTATTCATAATAATCTGTATATTTCCCCATAGCTGGACTATGTAATGGATAGTAAGGGTGAACCTAAGGAGGAAATTGTCCGAGCCCACAACTTGATCCTCACATGGTCTGACTTTTGGACTCTGGGCCTAGAAAGAGATGTTGAAGCAACGGTAAATCTGAACCAAGTGTGTTTAACTGTATTTCCTCATGGTAAGGGATTATTAATTGTCTAATCATTGTTTCCTTTTAGATTGCAAATTGTTGTTTCAACATTATCGTCAAGACTGCAATTGCACATGTAAATTACATTTATTACATTTTACATAATCTGTGCATTCATGTTTCCTGACTATACTTTTATGTTGCCTACACAAAGTGTGTGTTATGCATCTGTTTTCAAATAAAGGGCATTGCAACCGTGGCTGTGGATGCCTATGTGGTGGTCACCTGGCTTCCTCCATATGAGGCTTATCCCATTGCTAAAATGATTGTGAGTGGTAATGTAACAGAACTTGTACCTCAGCTTTAACCTCATGTTCAAGTTCCTCTTTGAACTCTTTTTGTTTTCCTCAGTGTGACTTTGCATCTAAAGATGTTGTGCTTCTCCCTGCCTGGCAGCCTGGGCACTGGACATTGTGTGAGTAAACTCACTTTGACGTGGTTTTTATATCTGAAATACTGTGCTGATATTATTGAACTCTCATCCATGCTTTGTTGGTACATTTCATGCAGTACATCACAACAATTTTGATATGCATAACGATTTCAGGTCTAAGAATCTAACCCGACCTTTTCTGGATCAATTCCAACCTCTCCTTGCCCCCTACTTTGGGTTGTGTGCTGAGGGTCTTACCATGTACCCCCACCTCCCAATGAAACTAACGTTTTTTGGCCATGCTGAACATGAATTTGATTGTTATTTTGTTTCAGCCTCAAAGAATGGGTGAATCAGAGCAATCACTTGTAAAGCACTTTGGATAAAATGATATTCATTATAAATGCACTATTTACTATAACTAATTTTGTTTGAAGTAAGATTTAGGTGTTTAACTAACCTTATTTTGCATTCCATGAAATGAAACTTTTAACAGGTTCTCAAACCAAGACTGAGGATTATGCAATATTTTGATTCAAGACACCCTAGTAATCTTCAGGTTTTTCATAGAAAGCTGATTACTGGTTCCCTATGTTCATATCTAACTCTGGGTCTTGCAGCAGTAACAGTCTATTTTTCTATTCAAAGCAATTTCCATGTTTACACCCTTAAAGTAGTTTTGTTTAAAATGAAGTTCTTCATTGGTTCGCTAGAAACCTCATCTGCATCTTTACTATTTTGACCACCCAAATACTGCTTTGAGAACCCAAGAACTTAGATATGATCATGTTTGGTAGTTCTGTTTTGGACTATACTTCCTTTTTGTTTCATTTTTCTTTCTTGTTTTGTTCTGCATTTATTGTTCCTTCTGTTCATATGTTTGATATGTTCTGTAAGTCCCTACTAGGAATTGCTGCTACTCCCATGTCATTTTTAGCACGGGAAGGTGTAGTTGAGCCCCATTTTTAAACCATGGCTCAAGGTGGGTATGTGTAGTTCAATTTTAAATTTGAAAGACTTTTTGTTTTTTGCAACTTACACGTCTTCCAAAACTTTTCAGTAACCTGGCACATGCTGTGTCCAATGGACCATGGAAGGCCTTTTACTTGGTTGACGAGGTAAAGCGTGTGGCTGGAGCGCGATTCATTGCATTTAGTAGAGTAGCATACACTGGTACATAGGCAGGCCTCTTAATTGTTTATCATGATTTGATGAAGTGATCCTATGTGACGCCGATGGACCCTGGTTTCTGCTAAATGCAAGTTTAAAGCGCATTGTGTAGCACTTTTTGTATGATTAAAGCTACAAAATGAGGGTGGGTATCGGTAGGCATCATATAATAAGAATCATTGATAATAATCACACTCCCCCCCCCCCCCCCCCCATCTCTCTCTCTCTCTAGCCCTGCAGGACTGGCTGGCACACCCATCTCACCCTCTCCAGAGAATAGGCCATTCTTACCACCGGTAGTCCTTCAGCGCAGAATTGAAGAGACGCTGAGTCTGGACATGGCTATGCTTGGCGTGTTCAACAGGGTTTCAAAAACTGTCCAGGAACTCACAAAGCCATTCTGCCCCTCCGTTTACATAAACAATAGTTTGGCAGGGGACCTCAAAATTAAAAATGACAGTCTGATACATATTGCTGTCACAAAAATGTATAAGACTGCAGGCCATGGCAGTGGCCTTGAACTACGCCTCAAAGGCTTTTCAAAAAGGCGAAATTGGCCGAGCGCACGCCTGGTGCTGAGGCATATGGGTTATGGGAGATATCTGATCGAAGATGTCCTAGTATAGTGTTGCTCTCGTTTTATTTTGTAATCCCTTTTATTTTTGCATGCCAATAAATCTTTGTTTTATACTGTACGTACTGTTCCTACAGTGTTAAATTCTTGTCATTTATTTTCATGACAATTAAAATAAGTGACATTAAAAGCTCATTAAAAGCTAATTAATTTCCTTTGATATCTCCATTTCACTTATTTTCATTCCAATATATTGCCACTTTCAACATATGTATGCAAGATATGTTTATCTTGTTCTTGGTGATAAGAGCTTCACACAGGTAGATCATGCAAAATGGATGCAAAATTACTTAGTTTTAGTTGGGATTCATTTTTGGGAACAAATCAGTAAAAACCTTTAACAGTTCTGTACAATATCCAGAGTAACTAGGACATTATTTATGGAAAGACATGTTGTTGCTGAGTTCATTTCTTTCAAAATGCTGTTTAATGCCGTAAGTACTGTTCCTACAATGTTAAAGTAAATAATTCAAGAAAAGATACTGTATTTTGTGTCTTTATTGAAAACATCCAAAGTGCCAGTGGGAAAAGTAAGTGAACCCTTGGAGTGAAATAGCGTATCTATTCATTACTCAATTCAGGCATGTTCTTAGACAACTGTATTGGTTTCGTACTGGATCTCCAAGAGTTCCTTTATTTGAAGCAACTCACTTAAGGCAGAGCCATACAGATAGTTGTGTCCTCAACAACTTGTAGCCTAGAAGATTATGAACATGTACTGCACAACGCCAACATTTTAATTAGATTTAGCTACCATGGAGCGTCCCTGAAATGTCGTTTTGTAATATCAGTAAATTAAACCTAATCAAGCCGCTCGAAAATTGTTTTAGCCATCTAACGTTAGTTCGATGCTAGCTGACGTCTGCCTATGCTTAAAGTTGGAACCGAAATATAGACTAGTCCTACACGT